TTCATATGTTGAACCATCCTTGCATACCTGGTATGAATCCCACTTGGTCATCGTGTATTATTTGTTTAATATGATGCTGAATTCTGTTGGCTAGAATTTTGTTGAGATTTTTTACATCTATATTCATGAGAGGTATTGGTCTGTAATTTTCTTTTTTTGTGGCATCTTTGCCTGGTTTTGGTATCAGGGTTATGCTGGCTTCATACAATGAATTTGGAAGTATCCCTTCCTTTTTTGTGTTCTGAAATAATTTGAGTAGTACTGGTGTAAGTGCTTCTCTGAATGTTTGATAGAATTCTCCAGTGAAGCCATCTGGGCCAGGGCTTTTTTTTCTTGGGAGCTTTTTTATTACCTTTTCAGTCTCTTCTCTTGTTATGGGTCTGTTCAGGTTTTCAACTTCAGTTTGTTTTAATTTGGGTAGGTAGTGTGTTTCTAGAAATTTATCCATTTCCTCTAGGTTTTCAAATTTGTGGGAGTATAGTTTTTCATAATACTCTGTTATGATCCTTTTTATTTCAGTTGAATCTATTGTAATGTCCCCCATTTCATTTCTTATTTGGCTTATTTGCATCCTCTCCTGTTTTTCTTTTGTCAGTTTGGCTAGTGGTTTGTCGATTTTGTTGATTCTTTCATTTGTTTTTCTATTTTCTGTTTCATTTATTTTTGCTTTGATCTTTATTATTTCCTTTCTTCTGGTGGCTGTAGGTTTTACTGTTCTCTTTCTATTTGTTTGAGTTGTGTAGCTAATGTTTTGATTTTGTCCCTTCTTTTTTGATGTGTGCATCTATTGCTATAAATTGACCTCTGAGCACTGCCTTTGCTGTATCCCAAAGGTTTTGGTATGTGTTTTCATTCTCATTTGATTCTAGGAATATTTTGATCCCATCTTTGATTTCTACTATTACCCAGTGGTTTTTAAGCAGGGTGTTACTTCGTTTCCATGTAATTGATTTTTTTTCCATGCTCTTCCTGTTGTTAATTTCTACCTTGGTGGCGTTGGGATCCGAGAAGATACTTTGTATTATCTCAGTGTTTTGGATTTTGTTGAGGGTTGCTTTGTGGCCTAATATGTGGTTTATTCTGGGGAACCTTCCGTGTGGGTTGGAAAAGAATGTGTACTTTTCAGCTGTTGGGTGGAGTGTTCTATATGTCTGTGAGTTCAGGTTGGCTGATTGTGGCCTTTAGATCTTCTGTATCTTTGTTGCGTTTCTAGATCTTTTACCAAGATTGGTGTGTTGAAGTCTCCTACTGTTATACTGGAACTGTCAATTTGTCTTTTCAGTGCTGTTAAAGTTTGTTTTATATATTTTGGAGCCCTGTCATTGGATGCATAGATATTTATTATGGTTATATCTTCTTGCTGGATTGTCCCTTTAGTCATGATATAGTGCCCTTCTTTGTCTTTTATGGTGGATTTTGTTTTAAAGTCTGTTTTATCTGAGATTAATTTTGCCACTCCTGCTCGTTTTTGGTGGTTATTTGCTTGATACATCTTTTGATTTTTAATAAATTTATATCTTTATTTCTAAGGTGTGTGTCTTGTAGACAGCATATTGATGGATCCTGTTTTTTAAGCCATTCTCCCACTCTCTGTCTCTTTATGGGTGCATTTAGGCCATTTATGTTCAGTGTAATTAGTGATAGGTGTGAATTTATTGTTGTCATCTTGTAGTGCTTTTCTTATTGGTGCTGACAATTTCTTTGTTCTTCTTACTCTTCTGTGCAGAATTCCTTTTGTTAGTAGATTTTTTTGGAAGATTTTATTTTTACTGACACTTTGTTTTTCTTCTTTATTTTTATGAGTAGGGTTGTTAACTTTCTTTGTGGTTTTCTTGAAATTTACCCGTATCTTCCTAAGTTTGAACCAGTCTATTATTACTTGGTATTGCCTTGCCTTCCTCTCCATTAGAAAGTGCTATACATACACTGTTTATTCCCTCTTTTATTGTTCTGACGTTGTTGTCCTTTGCAGATTAACCTCTCTGATTCCCTGTTGTAAATCTGTTGATTTTGAGTAGTCCTTGAGAGTTCATTTCCTAGGTTGGTATCTGGCTGGTGCTATCTTGGGTGCTAGATTCAGGCTGTCGTCTGATGTTGTTTGTTCTCAAACCAGCGGACTCCCTTTAATAATTCTTGTATGTTTGGTTTGGTTTGGTTTTTACATATTCCCTTAATTTCTGTTTATCTGGAAATGCCCTAATTTCACCATCATATTTGAACGAGAATTTTACAGGATATATTATTCTTGGTTGGCAATTTTTTTCTTTCGAGGTTTTATATATGTCATCCCATTGCCTTTTTGCCTGCATGGTTTCTTCCGAGTAATGAGAGGTTAGTCTTATTGTTTCCCCTCTGTATGTGACTTTTCATTTTTCTCGAGCTGCTCTCAGGATTCTTTCTTTGTCTTTGGTTTTAGCGAGTGTGATTATGATATGCCTTGGTGATTTTCTTTTAGGGTCTATCCTATATGGGTTCTTTGAGCTTCTTGGATAGTCAGCTTTTCATCTTTCATGATATTGGGGAAGTTTTCTGTCAGCAATTCTTCAGTGATCCTCTCTGTGTTTTCTGTTTTCTCCTGCTGTTCTGGAACTCTGATCAGTTGTAGATTTTTGCTTTTGATTGTAACCCACATAATTCTCAAGGTTTTTTCATTTTTCCTTGTTTTTTTTTCTGATTTTTTGTCAAACAAAGTTGTATCCAAGTGTTTGTATTCAGTTTCACTGATCCTGTCTTTCATTGTTTCAAACCTGTTTCTCAGCCTTTCTGTGACACTGTCCATTTCTGAAATGTTGTTTATCTTTTGTATTTCTAATTGTTGTTTTTATGTGATTTCTAGTTGTGAATTTATTGTAGCATTTTGTTCCTGTATTATTTTATTGAATTCTTCCATTTTTTTGGTCTGTATTTTCCATATATTTGTCTGACTTTTCCATAAATTTGTCTATTTTTTCCTCATTTTTGGCTGGTTTTTGCTTCAACTGTTGAATAGCTCTGAATATTAGAGATTTGCCTTCCCTGTCAGGTAGTTCTAGTGCCTTTTCTTCTAGTAGAAAGTCATCTGGTGTTTTATTTTTAACACTCACTGGAACCATCCAGTCCTATTTTTTTAAATATGTTTTGATATTGTCTGTTCTCTTCGCGACGTTCAGCAGTTATTTTCTTCATTTGTTGATTGTAGATTTATTTGTTTCATCCACTGTTTTGTTTTATTTGGTTATGTCTGAGCATGCGGGCTGTGCGTTCTTTGTTGTTTTCTCATCTGTGGACACGATATTTTTCACCTCATTGTCCAATGGGCAGGACCAGTTGCTCAGCTGTGGTGCAGCAGGGCAGGTCCGGATGAAGGGATGTGGCTGGAATGGGTTGTTTGTAGCATGTACTTGGGCCGACAAGGAGGGCTGGTGGTCAGTGCAGGGCAGGTTCCAGTAGATGATGCTTGTGCTGCTCGGGAGTGCACTGTTCAGCACACAGTGCAGATAGGCAGGAGGGGGGGGGGTAAAGGAGAGGTTGTGATGTGTGGAGCTAGATTGGGTATGGAAAAGAAGAGAGAGAGGAGAGAAAAATAGGAGCAAACATAAAGAAAAAGTTCTGAGGGATCTTGCCATTAGAGTGGAGCAACAAGAAACTGAGAAATGAAGAAAAATAAAATAAAATAAATATAAAAATAAAAAATGCTCCCAGGGATCCCACCAGTGTGGCTGTGCTTACCTGGGAAGTGGTTCCCAAGCTGAGCAGTACAGCCTGGCTAGAAGGGGTGGAGGTAATAAACAGCACTGGATATTTAGGAGACAGGAAAAGAAGGTAAGTAGAAAGAGACGAGAAACCGAGAAATGAAGAAAAATAAAAAGGAAAAAAGAAAGAGAAAGCAAACAAACAAACAGAAAGCCCCCAGGGATCCTACCAGTGTGGCTTTGCGGGTTGGCGAAGCAGTTCCCCAGCTGAGTGGTGCTTCACAGCCTGTCAGGAAGAAACAAAGGTGGCACATGGAGTCAGGTGTTCCAGAGAAAGGAGGGGGAGGAGGTGAGAGGCAGGGAAGAAACCAAAGAGATCAAAAAAAGCAACGCCAGCAACAAAGAAAGCTGGCCGGTGTGGGCGGGGTGAATCTGTGTGGAACACAATCAGTGCTGCCTCTGCCATGGTTGTGGCCCACTAGGAAGCTGCAGATTGGCCCACCGGGAAGCAGCGAATCAGCAAGCCAGGAATCAGCCCAATGAGAGGTAGTCAGTTGGCCTGCTGGGAATCTGCCTGCCAGGAAGCCAGGAATTGGCCCACCAGGAGGCTGCAAATCTGCTCTCCGGTAAGCCAAGAATCAACCTGCCAGGAAGCCGTGGATCAGGAAGTGACGAAGGTCAAGCAGGGGAAGGCAGGGTGGGGGGTGGGAAAGTGTGTCTTGCTGTTTACCAGGTGCTCTGTCTCCTACTGGGAGCTCCGTGAATCTGCTTTCCCTTACTCCCTGTCCACCGATCTCTGACAGGACTTCAAGATGGTGGATCTGTGCTGCGTTAGCTGATAGGGGACCTCCCCTCCTAACTCTTCTCGCTCTGTTCTCTATCAGTTTCTTATTCTATTCGGTGCTTGTTTGAGTTTTTTATCCTCATTTGATGCTTAGGGTTCCAGGATTGACATTTGTCTCTGTTTTACTTAGTTTTTTGGGTCTTTGCTGTGGAGGTGTGGTGCTTCTGTCTATAGCACCATGTTGGCTCCTGGGGATCTGTTGATGTACTTTTTAATAGACAAATTAAAATAGAGATCTGGGACTATTGATACTTGCAGTGTGGATCTACTGATGGGAGTTTAGGTGGATGCTGTGGGGAAGTCATATTCACTAGGATGAGAGGAAATACAAGGGTCATGAGTTAATAAAGTTAGTAAATATTTTAGAGCAGAACTTCTCTGAGCAAAAAGAATAATATTCTGTTTAACCTTTATGAAATTAAATTGATTTGAAGGGTGAACTAAAATCCCAACTATTGAAATGTTTTCCCTTTTCTTTTAAATAGTCATCTCAGCAAAACTCAAAGAAAAAAAGAATTGGTTTGGACCAAGTCCTTATGTGGAAGTCACAGTTGATGGACAGTCAAAGAAGACAGAAAAATGCAACAATACGAACAGTCCCAAATGGAAGCAGCCCCTTACAGTGTAGGTTTGAAAGTATTTTCTACATTATGTTTTGTTTAGTAAATCACCAGAAATGCATTTAAAATTTTTTTTTCTTTGGTCCCCTTTTCTCTCATCTTTTTTTTCCTTTTTTCCCTGTTCATAGACCCCTTTTGCCTTATCATCCTTTTTGTTTCTCTTTAGATATTCCCCTCTCTGTTTTTCCAGTCACTCCCTTTCTTTACCTCCTCCAGTTTAGGAGGTGATGGTATCACTAATGCTACTGAACAACAGCTGGGAGAGCCCATGGTTACAGGTCCAGAGGGATTCTTAGCAGCCCTTTTCTTGACTTGGGATTGAATTTTAGGGCTTTGAGTAGCTCACTTTATTTTTTAACTTAATGTTTAAAATTAGTACTTTTGTTTTTTAATTATGATGCCTGTACATATTTACACAAGGATTTTTTCTTTTTAAATAAAAAGTTATACATTTTATTCTACAACTTTATTTTTGTGCTTAACGTGTATCGTGGGCATCTTTCTCGCTGAGTACATATAGGTCTAACATCACCTGTATAGCTACATAATATTCCTTCATCTGGGTGGACTATAATTTGTTTTAATAGTTCTCTGTTGATTTATTAATTGGTTTCTAGTGTTGTGTTATTAGACGTTGTTGCCATATGCATCCATGTGCATATGTCTTTATATGTTAGTGTTTTTATCTATAGGATGAATTCTTAGAAGTAGAATATAGCTCAGTTTTAACACTGACAAAACTACACGTTAGTATTATAATCTAAGATACTGAACACTTGTTGAAGGGAATTATAGGCTAATTTCAATTCTTTTACTAAAATGGAAGAAAAAGCATGATTTAACAATAAATAGATTTTAAAATAACATAGCATGTTGGTTGTTTGAAGACCAAATGTGTATTAAAATGTAGATGAAAATGTAACTAGTTGTTAAAACAGCATATATAGGTGAATTGCTTTTATTACCTGATATTTGCAGTTCTTGCATTTATTTCTCTTACAGGAATAAACGAGTTGACTAAAAAAATGTTTTATTTCTAAATGGTGAAATGAGAAGTATGAAATTATAAACTCTTCTCTTCACGTAATAAATTGCTGATATAGATAGTATTTATTCCTAATAAATGGTAGAGCAAATTGGATATACTTATTATATTCTTTAACATGGATTTTGAAGTTCTAGGGGCATCTTTAGGCTCTTTATGATGATTTTCAGCAAATGAGTGAAATTTAAGAATTCACTGAAGATAACCTTGAGACCCATTTACAGAAGTATCATTTTGATGCTTCTCATCAGTATTTATTTCAACATTAATGTTTCCTAGGCTTTCTGTTTTTAGTTAGTGACCCATTAGAGATTATGATTCTAAGTAATATATGAGTGAAAAATTAAAAAAAAAAAAGTGAATTTTTTAAAGGTCATAGCCTTAATAATGGCTAGAGAGATTCAGCTAAATGTCAGACTGAGTGCTGATCTATTTTCTACACTGGATGTGAACTTTCAGGCTCTTAAGCTGTTAATGACATTGAACTCTCCTCCTAGCCTCATGTAGTAGTGTTATTATTGAGTCTGAATATTGGGGAAGCTCACAGCTCAAGCTCTTCTGAATTTTTATGTTGTAGCACATTGGCCTACGATTTTAACACAGCTTCTATTGTTGAGTAGTGGGCTTTTCCACGGCTTCTCTAGATTTGAATTGAAGTAATTTAGATAAGACCTTTGATGACATACTTTATGTACCTTCTCCCATATTAAAAAAACAAGTAAAATTAAATTTATCATCTCTTTATTTTGTCCCCATTACGATTCTCCAATTGATAAATGAGAAATGTTTTCTTAATACAGTATATACTATGTGCTCTTTTGAAGTAGCATATGAGAATTTTGAAAAGATGAGAATGAATACATTGTACTAAAGAAAAGACAGCATTAAGTTTAAAGTATTTTAAACTTTGTTTAAACTACTTGTGACTGTTAAAATGGTGATGGGAACATGGCGGAGGTAATAGGCTTAGTTACCTGTGGAGGAAAGTGTTTCTTTGTCCCCCCAAATTTGATCACTTTTAGTGAGAATGAGGTATAGAGAGATTCACACATTTCTGGAGTTTGTCTTTACAGCGTTTAACCTTGTAACTATGGTAAATTATATAGTGATCCTGTTTTTCTAATTGATGACTAAAATTGTGTGTTTATTGCAAATTCAAACTTCTGAAAGTTTGATTCTTTATTGGCATTTAGCAGGGTATGAGTGAGTCTATGTTTATTTGACAAATTGTCCTGGACACTTTTGTTTTTAGCAGTGTGAAACTCTGTATACCTAAAGTAATCTTCATCATGTAGTTGACTGAGAATTTTTTTTTTAAATTGCTGTACTTTAAGTGAAAGTTTACTATTCAAGTTAGTCTCTCATACAAAAATTTATACATTTTTCTTTATTTTCTCCCATACAAAAATTTATACATACATTGTTATGTGACTTTAATTGCTCTCCCTATACTGTGACAGCACACTCCTCCTTTCCACCCCTGATTTCCCGTGTCCATTCAACCAGCTCCTGACCCTCTCTGACTTCTCATTTCACCTCTGGACAGGAGCTGCCCATTTAGTCTCATGTATGTACTTGAACTAAGAAGCATACTCTTCACGAGTATCATTTTATGTTCTATAGTCCAGTCTAATCTTTGTCTGAAGAGTTGACTGACTGAGGAATTTTTTAATACAAATTTTAATGACAAGACTTTGTTTATAGTTCTGCCACTTATTGCCCATGTAACATTGGGCAATTTACTTAATCTTTGTGAATATCAAGAGATTCTGCTGTCAAAGGTTCTGAAGTGTTTGGCTGCCATCCAAAAGACTGACAGTTCAAATCCACCAGCCGCTCCTTGGAAATCCTATGGGGCAGTTCTACTCTATCCCGCAGCAGAGTTGCTATGAGTCAGAATTGACTCGATGGCAACAGGTTTGGGGCTTTTTTTTTTTTTTGATCTATGAATCAGAATTTGCTTAACCAATACATTATTGATTTTACATTTAAAAAGCTGAAGATGTAGGTGATAATTCCCATCTCATAAGGTTGCTATGTAAAGGAAATAACCTCAAGATTAGTACAGTACCTTACATAAAATAAGCATTTAATTTGTAAATCCACTCCCTTTTACCGCTAAAATAAAACTAGTTTTCCAACATTTTGTACCAGAGTAAGCAGTTTTAATTGTATTGATGATACATGCATGAAGTTGCCCCAGCAGTTCAACCGCAAGTGAATATGACCACCTAAGTACCGGTATGTTAAATTTAGATACGGTTTCCATAAGATTACAGAATTTAGGCCAATATTGGTTGTACAGTAAACTCTAAGGTGTGTGGTGAGAAGATCTTAGACATTAAAACTTAATTGTAATGTATTTAGGATCTAATTGTGATATTTACTGAAAATAATGTTTTTCTCCCTTTTTCACTTTTTAGTATCGTCACCCCTATGAGTAAATTACATTTTCGTGTGTGGAGTCACCAGACACTGAAATCTGATGTTTTGTTGGGAACTGCTACATTAGATATTTATGAAATGTTAAAATCAAACAATATGAAACGTATGTATGTAAAAATAATAGAAATTGCACTCAACTGTTTTTCTGGAAGGGATTCATATGCCAAACATGCAGAATGACTCATGTTTACTGTTTGTTTTCACATTTACTTGATTATAGGATTAACAGGGAGAAGAATCTTGAACTATTTTGAAGCATTCTTAATAATTTTGGTTTGGCCACTCATTTTGGGTCTAATATTTCAATAAGTATTTATTATTATTTATCTACTAAATAGATATTTATTAAAGTAATACTCAATTATGGAAAAATACAGAGCAAAGGTGAAGGAAAAAATGTAATTTCACTTCAGAGACAAAAATCGTTAATGTTTTGACAGATTTCCTTTTTAAGTGCTTGCTTTTTAAATTTTCTCATTGTAGATGGTTGTGGTTTTATTTAAATATATGTGTGTGTGTGTATGTATAGCATAGTAATTTAAAACTTACTTGTTTTACTTAACATACCGTGATTTTAATACATAGGTATTTTTCTGCTCCTTGACTGTCTAACACATCTAAGAATTTTCTCTCTTAGGACTTGGGAGATCTTATCCATTTCTGTGTTAAATGTTTTCACTCAATATAATTTATTCAGGCATGTACTGCTAAGTAATCTTGATTGTCGTCTTGGCTCATTTTATATTATAGTCTTACAAGGATGGAATGAATATAATAAAATGATTAAGATATTAAATATTTTACATTGTGGGTATTAAACATTAGCAAATTTTGTTCTGTCTGTAGAATATAATGGTTTGGTGTTAAGGCCTCAAACCTTGGGTGAAGTATATTAGAACAATTTATATACATACATGTACATTTTTGTGGTATTAGGTTTTTAACAGTTAAGATGACTTAGAGAAGAAAGCATAGACCTTTTTTTCTAAAATTTTGTTCTCTTCCAGTTGAAGAAGTGGTTGTGACTTTGCAGCTTGTAGGTGACAAAGAGCCAGCAGAGATAATAGGAGACTTGTCCATTTGTCTTGATGGGCTGCAGTTAGAGTCTGAAGTTGTTATTAATGGTGAAACTACATGCTCAGAAAGTAAGTAATTTTTTATATAGGGTCTTTAATGATTTTTCTTACATAAAATAGCCACTGGAGTATGCTCTTTGTCAGTTATCGCTATTCTTTTTTAAGAAAAGAAGTAATTTTATTATGGCACATATGATGCCGTACCCCCTCCTGTACCAGTGGCAGACATAGCTTATTTATCTGTAGCACTGTCTGGTTGAGTTTAAATTTGATGGCAAATCCTTCTTAGTATACTTGGCCAGATAAAGCCATTTGTTGTTCTGTGTCTGTAGGCTACACTTACAGAGATGTATTTTGTGTTGTTGTAAGTGCTATTAATGACAAAACCAATTCATTGTAAGTAGTTAGTGTGCTAAGGAGACCTAGTGACACAAATGTTTAAGCGCTCGGCTGCTAACCTAGAGGTTGGTGATTTGAATCCACCCAGTGGCCCTGTGGGAGAATGACGTGGCAGTCTGCTTCAGTAAAGATTTACAGCCTAGGAAACCCTATGGGGAAGTTCTACTCTGTCACTTGGGGTCACTATGAGTTGAAAATCAACTCAGTGGCACCCAACGATAGCAGTCAGTATGCTGGTATATCTTACAAAGTATGATTTAATTTGCTAGTGCTTTGTTCAAAAGGAGTCCTGGTGACACAAACGGTTAAGCACTTGGCTGCTAACCTAAAGGCTGTTGGTTCAAACCCACCCAGAGGCTCCCAGGGAGACAGACCTGGAGATCTGCTTTCTTAAAGATTACAAGAACAATCCTGTGGGGCAATTCTACTTTGTCATGTTGGGGTTGCTCTGAGTTTGAATCAACTCAGTGGCACCCAACAACAACAAAATGACAGTGCTTTATTAAAGGAGAATAAACATGACCATGATTAAAAGTTTCTGGGGGCACTTGAGTTAGTTGTCATGCTTAATAAAACTTGTTCCTATTGAGTTCCCTTCAGTTATTTCCATTATGTACTAATGCGCTAAATGTATTTTCACTTAAAATATAGCTTTTAGAGGCTCCAAGACAAAGACAGGGCATATGAATGGTTTCCTGCATCTGACATAGACTTTTTGTTTACTTAGAAACTACATTATGAAATGTTTTATAGTTGTCAGGTGCTATTTTATTCTTCTGATCCTACCTTGGCAGAAGACTTCCTACTTTTTAACTCATGACTTTTTTAAATAGAAAGTCCTTCAAGATAGTCCTCATGTGCTTTACAGTTGGTTCTTTAGAATTAGTAAGGGTGAAGAGAAATTTCTGAAATGATCACACCACTTCAGAGTTGATACTTTTAGTTGACTTCTGTTCACAGGGGACGCTATGATAGCTACGTTCTTCTATAAACTGGAGATCTGGCAGATAAGATACAAGTTAAATTACATTGCTCAACTGCCCTAAGCCTCAGTAGTTATAGCTTCCTAAGTTTTTTCTCCTTAGAAGCTAAAATTATTACTAATGTAAAATGCTTAATAATTAACGAAAGTAAAGCATGCTAGTCATATTTCAGAGTAGGATCTAAACTACGTATATACTTATGACTTTACTGTTTATTTCCTGCAGAACTGGAGATTTCTATGTCATCAGTTTTTCCCTAGAGTAGGAAAATAATTGGCAGTGAGAATTTAACCTGAATTTTAAGTAGAGAAGGGTTTGAACTGAGAAATTATGGTAGATTTTAGAGTTGAAGTTGCCAGATACAATAGCTGCTATTTGTTGAATACTTACCATGTACCAGGTACTTTGCTTGGTTTGTCTACATATGTTCTTATTTAACCATTATTTAACCATCACAACATTGTGAGGCATTACTTGCATTTTGCAGACATGGAAAATGAGGCTCTGAGAGTTTTTAAATAGTTAAGTCCAACATCACACAAACTAATGTGATGCAGAGCCAGAATTCAAAATATAAATATTTATTTGTTGATGTTGCCTTTTCTTTCCAATACACTATTGATTTCACACTTAAAAATCTAGAAACTATAAATCAGATCATTACTTGTTGTAAGCAAACAAACAAAACTTACTTCAGCCCATAAGCATTTTTGTTTGGAACTGCTTTCTCTGATTGGTTTGATTTCAGTAACTTTAAGCTAGAAATGAAATTTTGAGTTTAGCATTAGAATTGAATTTTCAGTAACCTTGGCATTGTTTGGTTTGAAAAGAACTGGGGGGAAAATTGCCTTTGTATTATACTAATATTTTTCTAATGTTACAGATTTTTAGATTTTTTTTTTTCCTGAGTATGTTCAGTGAGACATTTTTGTGGAAGAACATATAGGATGATTCTTAATAGAAATCTGTTCTTGTAGACTTTAATATCTCAGTTAATTTTAAAACAATGTTTATGAAAATAAATCGTTTTCCGAATTTTGGCATTAAAAGTCACCAAATAGTAGCTTGCTGTATATTTAGATATGGAGCCTTGGTGGCGCAGTGGTTAAGAGCTGCAAATGCTCACCAAAAGGTTGGCAGTTCGAATCCACCATCCACTCCTTGGTGACCCTATGAGGCAGTTCTACTCTGTCCTATAGGGTCTCTTTGAGTTGGAATTGACTCGATGGCAGCAGGTTTGGTTTATACGTTTAGATATACTGTGAAGACGGGATTTTCCTGATGAGACATTATCTTTTTTTTTTTTTTAAGTTGCTAAAAAAAATTTTTATTGTGATAAAATATATATAACAAAAAGCTTGCCATTTCAACCATTTTTAAGTGTACAGTTAACTCAGTGACTCTCATTACATTCACCATACTGTGCTATTGTTACCACTATTTATTTTGAAAGTTTTTAATTACCCCAAACAGAAACTTAGTATCCCTTCAACAATAACTCCCATTTGTCCCTCCCCCAGCCCCTAGTAACCACGAATCAACTTTTGTTTTTATGCATTTGCCTGTTCTGCATATTTCATGTGAGATCATAGAATACTTGTCCTTTGTGTCTTATTTCACTCAGCATAATGTTTTTAAGGTTTATCCATGTCATAGCATGGATCAGAACTTAATTTCTGTCCCTCTAAGCAAGGTTTTTTGTTTTGTTTATGTTTGGGTTTTATTTAATTATTCTAAGGTTGGGAGCATAGGATTAGACCTAAATTATTTACGCTTTAAATTTCAGCTATGGCTTCACTCTGTATTGAAGTGAAATGAAAGATGGAGCAAAAATGTCCCTTGTTCAGACTTTGCTACTCAGATGTAATTTTTGAAAAACAATAATAGCTAATATCTCCCCAGTACTTATATGTGCTGGGCACTGTTCTAAATGTTTAATCCTCACAACTACTCTGTGAGGTAGGTGCCATTATTATCCCATTTTATGCATGAGTGAAAAGGCACAGGGAAGTCCAGTATACTTTTCTAAGGTCACAAAGCTGGTTAGTATATGAAACTAGGGCACAAATCCAGGCATTGTTGCCTCAGAGCCCATGTGATTAAATAATATGCCTCAATGTAGTAAATGAGAAAAGTTTAGAAGTAGCAATTACTGATAGATTTAAATAGATTATTCAAAATGGTTATCTTAATTTTTGAGAGGAGAAAAGTGGGATACTAATTGACTGATTTAGTAACATATGGTGGATATTTTGGTTTAGTTTTCTGACTTCATTTACATCCCAGTCATTTTAGGGGAATATATTTCCTATAAAAAGAATTCTTCTAAAACTGAAGTTTCCCCTTTTAGAGCCATTATTTATTTCATTGTCAGTGTGTGTGTTTAACCATTTTTAGCAGCTTTTTTGAGGTATGCTTTATATATCATAAAATTTGCCCATTTCAAGTATACAGTTGAGTTACTTTTAGTAACTTTACTGAAGTGATACTACCATCACCATAAATCAGTTTTAGAATTTTTTCATCCCCCCAGTAAGATCCCTTGTACCCATTTACAGGAAATCCCATTATTACCTCCAGCCCTAAACAACCACTAATCAACTTTCTATAAATTCTTCTTTTCTGGACATTTCATACAGTATGTGGTCTTTTGTTTCTGGCTGCTTTCACTCAACATAAGATTTTTAAGGTTCATCCATGTTGTAGTATGTATATGCGTTTTTATTGCTGAATAATTTTTTCTTTGTATGGACATACCACATTTTGTCTTATCCATTCATCTGTACCAGTTTTAAATGCAGTGTTTCTAGAATGGATCAAACACTTGCAACTTTACTTAGCGTAGTATAGTGTAGTGGTGACTCAACATCATTTTTATGAATTAATCTGTTAATTATATTGTGCTGTAATACTGTGATACTTTCACTGTTTGAAACTGTGACTATATTGTCCTTTTAATAAGTGGACCTAGACTCTTGAGTTCTTGTTTCAGCATTTTAGTTTTTCCTTCTCTTTCTCTACTATCTGTTTTTGCTGCTATTGGTGTCCTTGCCTCTAGCTGCTCCCCTCTAACACTTTTTATTATAAATAGGCCCTGACTGAGTCCTAAGGATATTTCCCATGAGTAAATTGAATAAAATTTGAATAAAGTGTGAATGTTGTGACGTTCGTTTTGGTTATTTTGAAACCCGTTTGTGCCTTTCCTGTTGTTTAAGCTATTTTGCAGGCCTTTGCATGAGAGAGGTATTGCTGATTTTTCTATTTTCAGAATCTGTTTTGATTCATCACTCTGCAGTTTCTCAGTACTTTGTTAGGTATTTGAGATACAAAAGATGGCTAAAATAGTTGGTTTGAAAAGGTAGAAGTGGAGCATGACTAATATACCTTGACTAATTAACATTTCTTAAACCTAATGATAAACATTTACAGAATTTTGATAAAACTTTTCTAATTTTAACCATATTAACATTGATCACATTTTCTTTTTAAATATTTCCTTGGGATTTTAACTAAGTTACACAGTTGGCCCTGTGTATTTGCGAGTTCTGTATCCACAGATTCAACTAACCACACATCAAAAATACTCTGAAAAAAAAAAAGTTAGTTCCAAAAGGCAAAACTTGAATTTGCTGTGCACTGAGCACTACGCTGAATCCACGTGAATGAAGTGATGTGTAGGCATACCCTGCTGTAGCTTCCTGCCATTTCACAGATCCACAATCTCTCTCCAGCACTTGTTGTTTGAGCATTGTTCACCTCGTGTTCATTTGTTGGTTACTTGTGTGCATCCTTTGTTTCTATGAAAAAATGGCTTCTAAAAGGCAATTAAGTGGTCAAAGCAATCCCTCAAAGGCTAAGTATAAGGGGATTGAGGAGAGTGAGAGGAAAGAGTTTAAGGCTAATAAGGAATGGCTGGCTAGCTATGTAAAGCAGTATAGCCTCAAGAGGTTAAAGATCCCAGGCAGCATCAATGTTCCCAGAAGAGCTCAAGAAACTCATAGAAGAGAAAGGCTACCTTCCAGAGTAAGTCTTCAATTGTGATGAAACAATATTTACATAGCATTTACATTGTATTCGGTATTATAAGTAATCTAGAGATGATTTAAAGTAGATGGAAGATGTGCATAGGTTATATGCAAATACTACACCATTTTATATAAGGGACTTGAGCATCCTAAGATTTTGGAATCTAAGGGAGATCCTGGAACCAGTCCCCCAAGATACCGAGAGGCAACTGTAGTATTTTCTTTACTAGAAAGATTTAATAAAAGATTTTGCTTACATGGTATGTTTAGAGAAGACAAAAAAAAAGATTGAAAATTCCTCTCTTGAAACTCACTTTCTGTTTAAATTTCATTGATGTTAAAGGTGCTTCACAGAATGATGATGGCTCCAGGCCCAAGGATGAAACAAGGTAAGATTTTACTGTGATTGCTTACTGTAGAATGCAGAAAGAGACAAGGAAAAGTTAATAAAGAGAAGTCTTAGTTTGAACTTCAGTTCATATTGATGTAAGAATAAATGAATGTCAAAAAGAATTGAGGGCTCAAAGTAAGAAGGGAAATATTTACTAAAGATTGGAGACTCTCAGCTATAGGGAGTAGGCCAGGGATACCCAATTTGCTGATAACTTCTTTCAGCTCGTAGAAGGTAAAATCACTGGTATTACCTTCAGCTTGTAGAAAATGAATATATACATTGGTGTCCTTTCCAAAAGTAAGGAGTTCAGAATCTCAGGGTGATCACTAAGCTGTTAAGTTTCTTTTCTAGAAAAGCTGGAATATGAGTTTTATATATGTGTGAAGGCCACCATTAATTGTAGTATCTTCTAGGCCTTCATTAGAAGGAGTATAGATTTGTACTAGCTGTCTGCTCGTAGCATAGGTTTAGCTATAAAATGTGCCTATCTGCTTTCGTTTGTTGAACTTATCAAACTTCAAGTGTTTATTGCTTATCCTGGAAACTGTCATAATGGGAGATGAAATTAGGAAAAGAGATGATCTTAAGTTTTAAAATAGTAAATGAAGTGCAGTGGTTATAAAATTCCATTGGACTCTTTGTTTTTCTTAAACCAGATAAGCAGTAGGTAGGAAGAAAAAGATGAACCAGATGAGTAGTAGTCAGAGGAGAGGAGAAGAACCAGAAAAGCAGTGTTAAGAAGATAATGGAAAGATATCCAGAAAAGTGATGCAATGGAGAATAGGTGAAGCAAGTAGAGCAAAATGTTGCTGGTTGTTGAAGCTGAGTTGATAGGTACGTGGGAGTTTGTTGCACTAGACTATCTGCTTTTGTGATGTATGTAAATTTTCATAATATAAAGTTTAAAAGACAGCTCATCAAGATCTTTAGGAAAATCAAAATTTCTAAAGCTATTGTGTCTTATCTAAGAGAGACATAGCTTCATAGAGTCACTCTTACAGTGACAAAGAACCATCTCCTATACTAATCTCACAAGAAGAATATTAAGCAGTAGTAACTTTTTTCAGAGAATAATAACTATTTTTCTTTCTCACTGTGATTAAAAAACAAAAGATTTTAAAAATTATGTGAATATCTCTGTAGACTGAAAGACAACTTATTATGCCTCTTTTTAGTATTATAATAAAAATTTTCTTGAATTCCTGAAATTTTCCCCATAAAATATTTTAATATTTCAGTTTGCTTTGGGCGTTTAACTTCTCGGCAGTGCTACTCGGTGCTATAGGGTCACTATGAGTCAGAATCCATTCCATGGCAGTGCGTTTGCTTTGCATTTGTTTCTTTTTTTTTTTGTATAATAAACCTATATCTTTGCATTGATAGGTGAGAATATGTAGAATTTTATATGCTCATTAATAGATTCTGTTATGCCACTGTTTTGTTGTTGTTGTTGATTGCAAATTTCATTCTTAGAACACTTTTGTGAAACCCGTTCAACTTTGGACATCCTATAAATGTCTTACAAGGGCAGTAGTAGAGCCCCAGCCTCATGCCATTTTCTTAATCAGTGCTTTACATCTTCCCAAGTGAATTACCGTCATAAATAATCTGAGTAACAGTGCCTTCTAAGTTTCTGAGACTGCCAGAAAATCTTTGAGCATGTTTTTTGTGTTTAGCATGAATTCTTTTGCATCAGCTTTTATTCCTGAGATTTGATGGGTTCAAAAAGCATTTTGTAAACTGTCAAATGCAGTGTAAATGTTATTACACAATAATCCGTGGCCATGACCGCCTGTTCCCCTTTGCTTTGATTGGCAGATTTTGCGATACTATAAGGCAGAGCAGCATTTCTTCGGTGAAAAAGGGCATTCTGTGCTCCCCATAGTTATCATTTAAGAAGTTTACTAAATAGCCTTAGGTTGTTTCCCCTTTTTGTTCTAATTCAGGCACTATCTGTAGCAGGAATCTATTCTTGTTGATCTGCTTTTCCCCTTAGCATGTCTGGATGTTTTATATTTCTTAGGGCTCTGTCATTTTTTATGAAGTCCCAAGATGGTTGGTGCCTGGTATTCAATCAAGATTTTGTTAGATGGTGCCTTCTTGGCTATTATTCTTTGACCTATATTTTTCTTACGACCTTACTGTAGTACCAGCATCCTTTCTTGGTTCTCCAGGGATCCCTGTCCTATCCGTAAATATATGAGCTTATAAGATGAGATGTATATGTATAATGAGAGAAGTGGAGGTTTGTAAGGTTGTGGAGGGAAAGGATGAAGCTATAGTAGTGCGTAATTAGTAGCTAATTGCTTTTCAAGGGGAAGGGTGGTGATGCTCTTGCTGGCAATTCTATATAGTGTATAGGTGTCCAAATCCATTTCAAGTTTTACTTTCACACTTACTTATTAAAGAAACTAAAATAAACCACCTATGCTATTTCAGTATGGGTATGCTTCTGAAACTAGAGTGCATTAGAACCACCTGGAAGGCTTGTTAAACCACGGATTTCTGGGCCTCAGATTAGAGCCTCAGTTTATCCCAAGATCAAAGTAGATTCCAGGTTGATTTTTAAATTGATTTTCAAAAAAAATGAAACTATAAAATCTGTAAAAGAAAATATGGCCATTTAACTCATGTCTGAATTAATTAAGTTGTATAGGAATTTAAAACTCTTGTATATTTAGAGATACAGAATTAAAAGCAAATAACGAATATTTATTATAACACATAGATTTATATCTTCACATTGTAAAGACCTCTTACAAATAATAAGGAAAAAAATCCTCTGTAAGGGAAAAATATATAAAAGACATATACACAGTTTGTGGAAGAAGAAACTCAATGGCCTGTAAATATATAAAATAGTATTCAATTTCATTAGTAAAATAACGTTAGTGTTTTGATTTATCAAATTGGCAGAGATTTTAAAAAGATTTAAGCACTTTATGGTGAAACGGACATTTTCTTATCTAACTGATGGGAGAAGCAGATTGATTATGACCTTTTACAAGTGCATTTTAACAATTTAGTAGTCAATATTTAAGCCTTTAAAATATTTGCGGACTTTGACCCAACTATTCTGTTCTAGTAATCTATCTGAAAGAAATAAAAAATATTTTTTAAAAAATCAATGAAAAAATAATTAAATTATGGTAATATATATAAGTCAGAATCTATTCGACAGCAGATTTGTTTGTTTTATATGATGAAATATTCTTCAGTCATTAAAAATGTTTTTGAATAATTTTGGGACAATGACCAGCATAATGAGTAAAAAGCAAAGAAACCACCCAGGATATTAAAGTCTTACACATTGTATGATTGGTAATATCCAATGAAAAAAGACTGACAAGTAATACTCCAGAATCTTAATGGTAATTATGGTAATTATCTCTAGGATGTGGGATTGCAGGTGGTTTTTATTTTCTTCCTTATTTCTAAAGTCTCCACATTTTCTAAAATGAGCATATATTTTATCATTAGAAGTTAGTTTTTCATGTTGAACATCTTTTTTTTTTAAATTGTGCTTTAAGTGAAAGTTTACAATTCAAGTTAGTCTCTCATACAAAAATTTATACATACATTGTTATGTGACCCTAATTGCTCTCCCTATACTGTGACAGCACATTCTTCCTTTCCACCCTGGATTTCCTGGGTCCATTCAACCAGCTTCTGACCCTCTCTGCCTTCTCATCTCGTCTCTGGACAGGAGCTTCCCATTTAGTCTCATGTGTCTGCTTGAGCTAAAAGCACACTCTTCACGAGTATCATTTTATGTCCCTTAGTCCAGTCTAATCTATGTCTGAAGAGTTGGCCTCCAGAATGGTTTTAGTTTTGGGCTAACAGAGAGTCCAGGGGCCACGTCTTCTGGGGTCCCTCCAGTCTCAATCAAACCATTAAGTCTGGTCTTTTTACTAGGTTTGAGTTCTGCATCCCACTTTTCTCTGGCTCTTTGTCAGGGACTCTCTGTTGTGTTCCTTGTCAGGGAGGTCATTGGTGGTAGCCGGGTACCATTTAGTTCTTCTGGTCTCCTGTTTATGTGGCCCTTTCTATCTCTTGGGCTAATGCTTTCATTGTGTCTATGGTATTCTTCATTCCCCTTTACTCCAGGTGGGTTGGGACCAATTAATGCATCTTAAATGGCTGCTCACTAGCTTTTAAGACCCCAAATGCCATTCACCAAAGTGGGATGCAGAACATTTTCTTAAAAAAACTTTGTTACGTCAGTTGACCTAGATGTCCCCTGAAAGCATGGTCCCCAGATCCCTGCCTCTGCTACTCTGTCCCTCAAAGTGTTTGGTTGTATTCAGGAAACCTCTTAGCTTTGGTTTAGTCCCGTTGTGCTGACTTCCCCTGTAGTGTGTGCAGCCCTTCCCTTCACCTAAGATAATTCTTGTCTAATGTCTAGTTAGTGAATACCCCTCCCTCCCTCCCCACCCTCATAACCATCAAAGAATGTTTTCTTCTGTGTTTAAACCTTTTCTTGAGTTCTTATAATAGTGGTCTTATACAATATTTGACCTTTTGCGATTGACTAAATTCACTCAGCATAATACTTTCCAGATTCCTCCATGTTATGTTTCACGGATTCATCATTGTTCTTTATCATTGTATAGTATTCCGTTGTGTGAATATACCATAATTTGTTTATCCATTCGTCGTTGATGGACACCTAGGTTGTTTCCATCTTTTTGCAGTGAACATGGGTGTGCATTTATCTATTCGTGTGACGGCTCTTAATTCTCTAGGATATATTCCAAGGAGCAGGATTGATGGATTGTATGGTACTTCTATTTCTAGCTTTTTAAGGAAGCGCCAAATCGATTTCCAAAGTGGTTGCACCATTTTACATTCCCACCAACAGTGTATAAGTGTTCCAGTCTCTCTAAAACCTCTCCAGCATTTATTATTTTGTGTTTTTTGGATTAATGCTAGCCTGAAAGTCTTTTTTAATTTAAAGTGCACTAAATATATTAATTTTGTAAATACAAAAATATTATAATGAAGAAAATGAGAATGAGAACAGCTTGAGCTGTTAGGATTGGGGAAGTATTTTAGTTTGAAGGGTTTGATTTGTGGACTAAGAGGAAGAATCTAATAGAGGAAAAATGGTGAAGATAACAAAAAGGGGGCTAAGTGATAGGGGAAAGTCCTGCAGGATGTAGGCTGGAATCAAGGACACAAGTAGACAAATTAGCCTTGAAGAGGTGGAGAGAGATGTTTTCATAGATGGGAAACAAACAGATGAAGGTGGTTAGTGGCATAGAGAAACTTTGAGGTAGGGAAGAATAAAGTTGAAGGGTAGTAGATAATCATAATCTTAGGAAGGAAGAGGAATCAGAGTCATCTATAGACTGAGACTATATTATTATTCGAGGAGATGGAAAAGGTTTGAAATGGGCACTGTGGGGATGTGGCCAGGAGTGAATTAGAGATGTAGAAAATGATTGGTTTCCAAGCAGTATGGATAGGCCAGTTGAAGATGTTGAATAATGTGAGCTATTGCCCGTGCTGCCTCAGTCTCTGGAAGTGATTAGGTTTAGGAGATTGCGGGCATTTAGTATAAAAAGATACAGACTGAAGAAGCACAACTTTATTTTATTTTGTGCCTGGAGTCTGTATAATTTGTACAGGGCCTAGTAAAACTCTTTTTTCTTCCGAATTATTATTAATTTTTTATTACTATTTTTAGTACCAGTATACTGATCCATTAAGCCGTTAGTGTTACTAGATTGTCATAGTCATCTGTCATTTCTGATTCCTTAGCTTCTAGGAGATGGGAGCTGTGATTTCTTTTTGACAGAAAAAAAAAAAAGACTTTTCTCTTTATCTTGTGAGTCATTGGAAATGAAAATCTCAGGCCTTTCCCTTACTGGGCCCAGTGAAAATTTATCAGGATCTTTTATAGAACAGTTTTACTACTTTAGTACAGTACTTAATCTGCTAATATCCACCTCTGATTTGTCAAATGGAGTATTCTTCAGCATAACTTGTTGGCCCCAGAGAACATTAGTGGAGAATGTGCATAAAGGATTAACTGTAGTGAAAGGATGAGGGGGAGGGGCCAGTTGGGCAGGGGTGAGAGAATCAAAGATGCTAGAGAGAGTAGCCTCAGATGGAGCCCAAATGAGACTTGAAGGGGGCTGATAGAATGTGAAGAACAAGGGAGGTCAAAGGTCATGATGAGATTAAAGAAAGGATGCAAAAGAGTAGGGGAGGTAGAAGGAATAGGGGATTGTAGTCAGGAATTTTAGAGTCCAAGATCTACAAAGACAAGTAATTCTAAGTGTCAAGGAAATAGGAGAAATCACCATACTGTACACATTGTTAGATAACTTTGCTGAGAAACTGTGGCCAAGATGTTAGAAGGGTGAACAACATGGATATTAAAAATCCCCAAGAATTTAATCTCCAGCAAAACATAGTATTTTTGGAATCCAGTTTGTGCCACATGTTCGTCATAGCAGATTTGCCTCATTCCTTGAATGATCCTCCTCCCCAGCATATCCCTAAACTTGTCCAGCGCTGGATGTGCAATCTAGTATGAATTTTATACCTGAGGTGGTTTTTAGGAGTCATGTAGTCCAGATAATGAATTTTTGAGGTGCACAGAAAATAACTTCTCCTTAGTCATGTAACTTGTCAGTAGTAGAACTAGAGCTCGAAACCTCAGTTTCTCACTTTTGGTCCATTTTACCAGTTGTCTATCTTATGAAAAGCGGCAAGAGCCCTTCTTTCATACTATCTCATAAAATAGTATGGGGAGGCAATTCTCAGAATCTCAAAGGGGCATATTATTCAAAACAGATTTGGAACCTCAGCATCTAGGGGAAGGGGAGAAATGTCAAAGCTGATGGGTCCACTTCTACTCTCATGTATTCAAACCATATTCGGAGGTGGTTTAACAGTCCTGCAGGCAGCCAGCACTAATCAGATGTTGACAGCCAATTACTGAGCTGTTCGCTTTATTCAAAATAAGCATTTGAGGAACCCCCAAGGCAGTACTTTGTACTATATTGTCCATACAAATCATTTGGGGGATCTGCTAAAATGCTAGTTGTGATATAGTGGGTCTGGGGCGGGGGCCAAGATTGTGCATTTCTAACAAGCTCCTATGTGATGCCGGAGCTTTTAGTCCAAAGGCCACACTCTGAGTAGAAAGTCTCTAAAGGACTTCTAGGAAACATAATTTGAAAATTATTTAATATATGACACTGCTTCCCTGTTTTGGTATCTTGAATTTAGTAGATTTTATTTTGTTTAGGCTTGTTCTGAAGGTTCAGGAGATATGGTCTAATACCATGTAGTGGTTTGCTGTTTACACAGTAATAGATATCAGAATCTTAGCTAAAGCATCTCCAGACTTGCTACTCATGCTTTGCTTTCTAATCCATTATTAGATTTCCCCCATCCCCACCCCATCCCAGAGGAAGAGGAATCAACTATATTTAGCTGACAGTAGTAGTAGCTTCCAATCTGACATTTCCCGTTAGAATACTCTCCTCTTTTCCTTCCCTCCAATTGATATAGTTGCTTTGAAGAAGTAACAGCTTCTTTAAAAAGGTCTGTAGGCACCACTACTCTAGAACACTTACTTTGAACATTTTGAGTACTGTAGTTCTGGGGAACGGTGTCCAAGCCTGAGAAAAAACCGTACTTCTTCTGGCATGGGATAGTCCGCCCTGCCCTAAAACATGAATAATGTTAAGGGCCAAGGAAAGGACAATGGTGAAGTTATTTGTGCTTGTGATAAAATGGTGACATTGACATTGGGATTTTGAGAACTTTGTTCCTGCTTATACAGAGACCTCAGAAGATTTATATGAAATTCAAGCCAGTATATCATAGTTTTTAATTGTCTCAGGTGTTTCTATGCCCTTGGGCAACCCCTCCGTCTATTTCTGGATGAGCTTCTGAGGGTTATATATAAGACTCTATTCAAGGGCTAGTCTGAAATTAGGAAGCTTTTCTCAGGCTCCTAAAACTTTAAGTTTCGGTTTTCCTGCTGGTCTTTTGTTAAATTCAAAGAACCTTCTTCTTCCCTTTCCCTTCCTTTTCCTCCCTTCTTAGAGCAAACACAAATGGATCAGATGACCCTGAGGATGCAGGGTCTGGTGAAAATAGAAGGGTCAATGGAAATAATTCTCCATCACTCTCAAATGGCGGTTTTAAACCTTCTAGGCCTCCAAGACCTTCACGACCACCTCCACCTACCCCACGTAGACCAGGTGCGTATTCCAGCCATACACTAGGGATGTAACTCTTGATACTGTAATTATAAATAACGTTCTGTTTGGGGATTGATCCTTAGGTAAGTGTCAGGAGATTCTTTGAGCTCAGTTTTCTAGCTGTATTCTTACATTTTAAAAAAGAGTGATTTTCCTATAGGTAACTGAGAAATGCCTTTTCTGTAAGTTTTTCTTCCAGAGGTGAAGTTAGTGAGGCTATGTTCCACTGAGACTGAAAAACACATCTCATGTGCATTTTATAAAATATAGACAGTACAGATAAGATTGCAACTTTCTAGCAGGGTTTTTGTAACTGTGGCATGAGCATGTCATGTAATCAAGAATCTGGTTGTGTATTACCATTATATACTTTTAAGAGACAATTAGTAAATGGCAGATAACTCAACAATATTAATGATAGTCAGATTTTAAAGCAAAAATTATACAACAGACACATTTCATGTAATAAGAATGCAAGTATCTACAAGTGGAATATCTATTTTTCTGATTAGCCAAACAAATCTTTAATCTTAGAATAATCTTTTATTACTTCCTCAGCTAGTATGTGGGCAGGGAATGCAAAGTAATTAAACTAAATGTTATTAGAAGAGTAAGTTAGTTGTCCACGAATCATTTTAATAAAATGACTGTGTTTAGTTATACATTTTCCTCTTTTTAGTGTGTGTTAACAATGTATTCCCAGTCTTTAAGACTGTATGTATACTTCTTTGTCTTCCTTCAAAGATTGTTTTGTCAATAAGTATTTCTTAAAGATGTAATACGTGCTCAACAACCATTTGTAAAAAGTCAGATTTTCCAGAATATAACCAGTGTCAAAAAATTGATCCCTAGTCTTCACGGTTTCATAGGAAAGGCAGTTTTTTTTTTTTTTTAATTGTACTTCAGGTGAAGGCTTACAGAACAAATAGTTTCTCATGAAACAGTAGTACACATATTGTTTTATGACATTAACAACCCCACAACATGTCAACCCTCTAACTTCTCCCTTTTTTTTTGGTGAAAATACACATAGCCAAAGATACACCGTTTCAAAAATTTCTACATGCACAGTTCAGTGACATTGACTACTCTCTTCCAATTGTGCTATTATTCTCACTTAAGATGAAGGCTTACAGAACAAAACAGTTTCTCATTTAACAGTTACTACCAGTATTGCCCTATGACAATGGTTAACAATCTCACAACACATCAACAATATCCTTACTCAACCTTGGGTTCCCTATCACCAGTTTCCTCGTCCCCTTCTGCCCCTTGTCACTGGACTACTGTACCTCATTAGTCTCATTTGGTTTTATGGGGCTGTCCACTCCCAGGCTGAACGGTGAACCTCGGAGATAACTTCACCACTGAGCTAAAAGGGTGTCTGGGGACCATACTCTCGGGGTTTCTCCAGTCTCCTTTAGGCCAGTAAATCTG